AACAGTACAATAAAATAAATCCATTAGCCCTTTTTGTAGTATTCCCCCGTTAATGCAGTTTCAGAATTAAATTATGCTACAAAACAATCAGTCCTTCCATCGAGAGAGTGGTTTGGGAGAAGAAATTATAGCATGGACGCTGATGCGATGATTTGTATTTCGACCGAGGATGAGGAAAATTCTATAAGAAAGAGGAGATGAGTTAAGAGTGGCGGACAAGGGACACTCAGCTGCTGTAAGGTTTCCTCACGAGGGGTTGGGTAACAACTTCTGGTAATGAGCTATCCCCCTGTAACCACCAAATAATTTTCTTTGCCTGGCGAAAGTCTTCTATGTTGTTTAATTTTTCCCCATTCTTCAGAAATAGGCTCATGGCCACCGCGATCTTTCCATGCAAATTCCATTTTCATCCAAAACAAACTAATTCTGTTCATACTGAAAAACCCTTTCATAAGAATCAATATACACTTGCGGAATCAGCAGGCCTCATGTATAGTCGACCACTAGTGGATCTACTGGGGGCCCCTTAAATAAAAAAATGTATATTTTTTCCAAAGGTTTATATTTGTTACTGTTTCTGAACTTAACACAATTACAATATTTTTATTCTTTTTAAATTATAACGCATATGCAGTTACAAAAAGTAAGCACTTGTCAAGAAAAAAATATTTTAAAAATTATCCCTAAAAAACATTATTAAATTTTCAGTAATTATCACAGGTTTTCAAGGACTGCTTAAATACAATTTTTAATTCTTTCTTTCTTGTTCTTTCAGAGTAATTGTTGTTATATATAATAAAAAAAGAAAAAAGCAAGCCTCCCCTAAAGTTAAATTTCGGAATCCGCTACTGTTGGATGCACTATCAGTACCACCTGTATTATTTTCATTTTAACATAGGGTCTTCTGGTTCTTGAGAGCTGTAGCAGCCACTATTCTGCATCTCGGTTGTTTTGGCCTGTCAATCAATAAAATAAGATAATATCTGTTTTGAAATATTATAGCAAAATGGTGAAATTTGTTGTTGTGGCGTTAGGTGAAAGAAGGAGCGGCAAAAATAAACTTAGTAGGGTAATATTCTGTGAAGATGACATTTATTGGGAAATAAGTCAAGTGAAATACTCTTGTAAAAGATTACTTTTATTGAGGAGGAGAATGCGAGAGGTGAAAGAGGTTTTCTCCTGGCAAAACTCCTAGTTCAAGCCCTACACTACTGCGATGACCATTGTGTAGCATTGCACTTATATTTTATTACCAAGAAACTGTTACCTATATACCTCTACGAATAATAATTCTAAAGACGTCACATAAAGAAAAATATATTCTACAATAACTCATGAAGGGTCTTCAGTACTTTAAGTTGACGGGGTTAAGTACTTAGTAAGGTACTCCAATGGTTGTTGCCGAGGTTATCGAGCAAGGTTCAACCGACAGGTTGTCCCTCATAGGGCTACAAGTAGGGTGGCAGAATGGCCTAACGCGTGTGTACAGCACCGCGAGTTGCCCGGCAACCAGATAACAGATATAAGAGATTAAAAAAAGTACGATTTAGCGTCCCAGTGCCGGAGGGAACTTTAAATTCCCCACACTCCCCATTCTCCTCAAATTCTTCTCATCTCGATCCGGGAAAATCACATAGCCTAAAAGGGGAGATAGGGAAGAACAGAAACAAAATAAAAGTTTGTCCCTAATAATTATTTATTTTAATACCCACTTTATTTAGAGGCTGGGTGTGTCCTAGGAGGGTCCCCTGACCAAAGGATCGATCCACGGCTGATGAAATAAAATAAATAATTAAAGATGAAACATAAGTATCTATTAAATATAATAAAAATAATTTAAATCGCCGTTTCCACTCATGCCTAACGTCACTATGGAGGTAAGAAACAGATGAAGTATATTGGACTATATTTTATAAATTATCGCAATGATTATAGTAGTTTATAAGGGATCAATAATTATGAAAGTGTAGGTATAAAACAGGCACCGTGAAACAACATGTTTGGAAAATTATTAAAAAGCCAACATACTAAAACGTGAAAGGGATAAAATAAGTGATTCTTTGTCAACTTCGATTTGGTCGTTGAGTGCGATCTCTCTGGTTACCTTCGATGGGGCCTTGAAGCACCCACTTGCACCAAATGTTATGATATCACATCCGCAAAGCTGATCACATATGCTGCGAAATGGCTTACAGCTTTAAATTTAATAGGAATACACAATCAAAGAAAATTTTCTTGATAACGGAAATTTTAAAAAGATACCCTTATCCTATTTACATTCTCAAAGATACCTAAGCATTAAAACTTGTATGATATACTGAACTTAAAAACTCCATTGTATATGGTGTAGTTAGGGAAGCTTCTTATCATTAGAGGGTGCAAAAAGCTAAGTCAGTGACAATGGAGGCTGCAACAATTTTTCATATTTTACTATTGATATTTTTAATTATTAGTAAATAAACATAAACACAAACACACACTTCTATACAACTTAATTTTATTATTTTTGAAAATTTCTTAAATTGATTAATTAAATATTAATAATTCTTAGCTCTAGATTAGTGAATTTCAAAACTTACGTACTTTTCAGTAAAATTGGTCAAGTAAACAATATGTATGTAATGAACCTAACGGCATATGCAATTATGTGTGTTAAATAATACTTTTATAGGCTTAGAATATTCGGAATTGCTTCAATGTAAATATGATTTATTGATCATTGCTGTATTGTAAGCCGGAGCGGAGCAAAATAAATAAATTTAAAATTACAAAAATTGAAGATTCAAAAGAACAAACATTAGTGTGTAACACTAATTTCTTCTTCTTTTTTTCAATCTTTCCTCTATAGAGCTGAAGCCCCCCTCCCAAAATTAAATCCTGGGTCCGTTAGTGTCACAAAGGGAAAATTCATCAAATTATTCACTAATTTAATTTTCTAAATGTTTTCGTGATGGTTTTTCGGAATAAAAGGACGATACATACCTAATTATTTAAATGTAATATCAGATCAAGAGTTATTAAAGAACAATAAATGTATTTAAGGTAATGTATCCATGAAATATTTTTATATTTCACACCAATATAATTAAATACAATTTTTAAGGTCATTGCCTTGATTCGGTGAATTTTAAATATTTTTTTTCAAACTTTTATATTTTTTTCGTCACTCACCGTTACCTTCTACAACTTCATTTATTAGGTATTATTTTTTCTAAAATTCTCCGCCTTCCAACGATGTAAAAATGATGTGTGCCTTCTAACTATTATTTCCGAAGATTGATTTTCGACCTGGATAGGCATTTTTGTTTTTTTCTTCTTTATTCAATTATCAAATTCTTTCAAAAGTTTTATTTAACCATTTTTTAGTTATTGTCAATAAGAGAGAGTTTTCTTTTTTTTAAATAAACCTAATTAAAGATACTTTAGAAACAGACGAATTGAAAATTGAGCATTTAAGCCCTGTAAAGTGACATCAATGTGTATAACACCTAGTTTTTATTAAAAGCAACTTAATAATACCGAGTTTAATCAAAATCGTTCGAGCCATTTTAAAAAAAACGTAAAAATGTGTAAAATCGATGATGTGACACTTTCGGTTAGTCGATTTTAACGAAAAAGTTGCTATCACATCTGAACCATATACAAACCATAAATACGGAATTTAAGTTTCGTATGACTTTTCGTTTTTGAGCTAAGCTGTTCACACACACACACACACACACACACACACACACACACACACACACACACACACACACACACACACACACACACACACACACACACACACACACACACACACACACACACACACACAAACAAACACACACACACACACACACACACACACACACACACACACACATACACATTGAGACCATTTTGCAGGACTTTCGATTTGCTTACAGAGGACCTCAAAACATGCATTTCCGTTGAAAACTAAGATTCGAAAATTTTCACGATGGCAATACTTTTCCATACTACATATTCCATTTATAGGTAAGTGAATGTAAAAATAACTGATAATAAACCAATTGTTAAATAAATTAAAACTATGTAAGTTCCAAATGGTAACCATAGATTGTAAGTTCCAAATCTAATCTAAGGATTCAATAAATTTAAAGATAGCTACTAATATTCATTGTTAATCGAACTATCGGCAATATGCTTTCAAAACCGCATATGTGCTGCTGACATAATTTTTAACAGGTGGCTATTACAACTGGTTTTACAAGTGATAACGTGAATATTACAAACTCCATTCGTTCAGAAACCTTTCCTAATCAAGATGGCAAATCTTTATTTTATTAAAAATAGGATTGTTGAAGCTTTGCATAAATGTCACTGTGATTGCTGAATACCGTGTGGTTTCTAATTGTATCTATCCTCATTTCTTAAAGTTACAGAATTTATACCTAATATTAACAATATTGAGGAAGAACTGTGAGTTTACACACGGCCATTAATTCTTTTATGGTTTCACTCATTTTAGAGATAAATGGAATGTTATTTCATCAAGAGATAAAACAACACATTCCTACCTTGAATAACGTACAAATTGGAACACTCTTTACGTGTAAATGCTCATAGATTGCCCATTTTTGGCGTGCTTGCCTATACAGCTGTGTATAACGATTCTTTGAAAAATTAGAACCTCTGCTAAGAAAGGTCGTATTATTAATCATTGTATTCCGTATTATAAATAAATAAAAATGTTATTTTGAATTTTTATATCGAGGATATAGTTATGGCTCAGTTAAAACCAAGACAATATTAACATAATAGTTAAACTACGTCGTAGATTCAACCGCCAATCTCACTTGTTTATTTAGATATTTATTACCTTAATCATATCAGATGTTACATATTTGTTTTGTTTTTTTCCACAAGGTTGTTTGAAACAACTGATTTGTGGTAGCAACGGCTATGTGGGAAATTTTATATCTAAAGCAAGGCTCCCTTAGGTAGAACTACCGATGCGACAGCGGGAGCGGGGTTAGATGGAAAGGAAAACCGACCCCTGTCTTCAGGAGAGGTCTCTTCCGCCAGACCTCACGACCCCAGGACAACCTATGACCTGCCCAAGGTTTCTCCAGATCCAGGAAGAACGTGTCCGAGCTACACAACGACCATTACAGCCGATAGTGGCATTTTTGAGGTTCAAAGGTTGTCTATTTTTTTTTTTTTTTTACTATTGACATCGATATCTTTGAATTTCGAAACTGTTTGGGACCTTATTCGTAATTAACTATTTCGAGGCTTACTGAAGAAATTATCGATATTTATGTTAGCAAATTGTTACATTTTATAATCAACTTATGATACAATGAGTTATTTGATAACAACATTGCCACAACTATACTTTGAATTAACCTCTTCTAGACGAAAAGTATAAATATAAGCGAAATATTTGAAAATTGTTCGGATTTTTTGCACTTTTTACGATCAGAGTAAATTTATCTTTCTAGCTCAAATGAAGGAGGAGGAGTGGTAAAGAACACATAACCCCACTAATTGAATTAAATCGAAAGGTAATAGAAGTTTCGTAATAACTATAAAATTGTAGAAAATTCATTAGGAAATTATTTTTCCCGCTTTTGAAAATCGAATTTTGTAACTTTTCATATTCAGTGTACTTGGCCAAAATTCGAACCCCGTACAAAAGTTAGAACCATGCACAAAAACTTTATCTCAAATTCATCAAGTACCGTAAGTTTAGTGAAGATCTGTAGTATATGAGAAACAATAATTAATTTTGTCGTCAGGTCATGATCTGCTTTTTTTTTAAATTTAATTTTGTACGTTTGTTTCAAGTTTAGTCTGAAGTATTATTTTCTTAAAGCACTGTTTCGTTCTGAGTTATTGCCGCTCAGTTATTATACTGGGTAACTAATATTTAACGTTAATATTTATATTATATTATTTTATGCAGTGAAATTCGAAAATTGTTTCATATAAAAGTTATATAAATTAACTTCTATATGAAAATCACAGAGTTTTTAAAATCTATAACTTGTTCGGCATCAAAACGCATTCAAGTTTTTGCTTCTTACTTCCGTATGCAGGGAAGTTTTGTGTTGTAACATAAAATGGAAAAAAGAATTTAATCATCAGAATTTAAACTTTCTACTAGTTTTTCACGTTTTTGGTATGAAAGGATAAATTGAAATTTGGAAATGTTTGTCAGTATGGCTGTCTTAAATAAAATTTATCTGATGGGCATAACACCTACTATGGTTGATCAAATCTCGAGGTAAAAGCATGGATTGTTATCTTAAGTTGGCCCTGGATAAATTTTACCAAATTCCATTTACTAACTAGAGACGTTTAAGTATTGCCTAAGGGCTCGTTCGATTGGCCAATTATTTGTTGACAAGGTGAACGCCTATTTTGTCAACATAAAGGAATGTTGGGATTAGTTTACAAAACTAGATAAAAATCGTTTATTTCGGACAACTATTAACAAAGTTATAGATTTTCAATTTCCAATGTAAGATTACGGGTTCATATACTGGTGTCAGAAAGGGGTGAATGAGAAAAAAGATAACTAAGTGAAAGTAAGAAAATTGTTGCCCGCATCACACAACCTTCACTTACTATGTATTTCCTTCATATTCATTTTCAGGAAAGTTAATGTAATTCTGTTTTCTTTTTTTTTTTTTTTTTAATTGACTTATGTAAAGATATAAAACGGATATACCAGATTTTGTTTCTTCAAAAAAGTGGTGAAGTAGCTAAGACTGAATACTAAGTTTACGTTTTTGCATTTGTATCTCAAATTACCTTAATTTAAACTACTATTGCTTGGATACAAATATTGCGTCTTTAAATATAAATGTCTGAAAGGTATTTTACAAAAGTGATACTCAAGAAAACAGAAATTGATAAGTAGGTTATTATCTTAGAATTTATTACCATATTCTTATCAGATATCGCATATTTATTTTTTTCTCATAAGATTATTTTTTGTCGTAATTATAGAAAGGATTGTGTAACATTTTTAGCCTGAGCTATTTTTAACTTAAACTATGATCGGAGTGATTCACCATGGCTTCGGAATTGGAACTTCAAATTTGCTTACTACTCCTGTTCATATTGGAACCTCAATAAAATTAATTTTAAAAAACAACTATAGTTTAATAGATCTGAAATTATGATAGCATTTTTTTCTGAATTGATTTTTATTTTTATAAAATAACATATCCAACTGTTCTATTAGATTTCCCTGAGGTGCAGAAGCCTTATCTCACAAACAATCCTTTCCACTAAGTTGAGATCAATTGATCTTTACTAACTATGGATCAGAAACAAAAAAGAATTAAGGTTATATTTTTTTCTAGAAGAATATTTTCAGAAATACAATGTGTCAAATTTCAAAAGAATAAATCGTTATAGTTTATTGAATTAAGATAAATGTTTCCTTCTTATTATATGCCAGTGCCATTATGATCGTTGTGTATCAGGACAGCATACACCATTCATATATAATCACTAGCAACCAAACGACCATGCCTGACCATCCACTTCTTTATTGACTCAACAAGAGAAGGGCTAACAAAAGCTGATAGATGAATTTCGTGTAACAGAACCTGCAGCTTGCAGGCCCCGTAGCACAGATGATTACAATCGTGCCGGTACCGTCTTCTCGTTATGGTTTTGATCAACAGTTCACACGATCCAGTTAAAGATAATTTGGGTCGCCATCTCAGTATTGAGAGCGTGTGCCTGTTCTCATCCTCTCTTGGCATTTCCTTCTGCCTCAGCTGCTCCCTTCTCTGTCAAGGAGGGCGATCTGTCGCACGCCTCTTCCACAGAAATTGATTTCGCTGATGGAACGAGACTGATTTCACAGATCAAATTAACCTACAGACCTGATGCGATGCAGGCACTATTTAGATCGCTGCAACTCGACGTTAAAAATATAATACTCCTTTTTGTAGAGTTGACCCATTTCTAACAATACCATAGCAACCGTTTGAGGGTCATTTCCAATCTAGCTACTTGATTGCCCATTATCTTCATCCCATCCATCAACAGACTTATAAGAAAATAATTCTAATGAGAGACTTATTACTATGAACACTCTGAAATAAATCAATATTCTAGCACAAACTAAATTCATTATTACCGAGAATAATTTAGCCCATCGATGGTTAGTTTATTATTATTTCTTACTTTTTCTGTTTTGTTTTTTTCGTTTTTTTATAATGATTTAAAAATTTATGATTATCGTTCTAATGAGAAACTTTTTATCGATAGCCTTTCCTGTGGATGCTGATTTTGAGCTCCGAGGATCATCCTGTAATTATCTATGAATTTGGTATCAAATAAAAAAATACACTAATATCTTGGATAAAACTCGTAAAAAAAACATCTAATCCACTACTTTGAAACAAAATATGGTGTCTTCGAGCGCCGAAGTTCATCTTAGGATGTCTAGAGATTTTAGTGCCAAATTAGAAAAATAACACAAGTAAAGTATGAAGAAAAGGGGGGAGATTTCTCCCCTCCCCCCTCCTCCATTATGATATTGACTTTTTTTCCTCGACGAATTTTCCAATTCAGTTTCATGATCTTGATATATTCTGAACAAAATAATAAATTTATAGACATTATTTATAATATGTAATTTTTAAAAGGCATTTAGAGAGTATTTGAGGAGCATTCCTTTAATCGACAATATATCATTTTTATAACACTTAAATCACTTTTGGAACATCAGTATTTAAAAAATCATTAAACGTCTTCCCATTTAGGAAGTAAATTTTTTTATTGATAACGTTGGTATGTAAGAGCTGTCCAAACATTATTTTATAGAAAAATTAGCTTTACATTTTATTATCAGATATTAAATTATTTATTATAATTATTATCATTGTATTAAGTATTTTAATATATTTAAAGAAAAATTGATGATAAATGTTATGTACTGTCAAGCCCGCACCTTTTTATTATCTAATAATAACAATAAGTTTATTTAAGGATTAAGCATATATTGTAAATTTGGTCTCTAGTAGCGAACTTTCCCTGCAGTATTAACGTGAATACTTTAATTTTATTAGTTTCAGAAATTAATTATTTATTTAATGATATTTAGTCTTGATCATGGTAGTTTTTTTAAAATGTTTATTGGCATATTAGTATTAATTTGAAATAAGTAGAATAGAATAGAATAGAATAGAAAATAGAGCTTTATTCTGGGACTAAGTCCCCTTAGAATAACAAAGATGAATTAATACAAAATAAAATACCAATCTGACCAAAAACTAACTTATAAAAATTTTTGGGTGATAAATATTCAGGACGCAGTCTTTTTTAAACATTTTTAAATTTTTGCCAACGTTTCAACCCAAACATGTGGGTCATCTTCAGGGCGTGGTTTGAGCACTGAGGTTGTTCATGTACCCTTGGCAAAAATTTAAAAAAATTTAAAAAAGACTGCGTCCTGAATATTTATCACCCATGATATGTAGAGCAGTCGACTAACTTCCTTCAAGAATTTATAAAAATTCTTATATTATATAAATTATTTAAAAAGTAGTATGTAACCACTAAAGGAAGTACCATTGGAAAAATAAGTTTATTAAGATGATGAATCATTATTATAATTACGAATCTCGAGTATAAAAACGTTGGATTTCATGGAAATGTTACACTAAAAACTGGTATTTTATAAAAAATAAATCTTATTAGTTAGCAGAACAAACTAAATCAGAATTTAACATATTTATTTATAAGATTATTTTTATATGTGACAAATAGTCAGGACGCAGGACGAATAGTCTTTTTTTATATTTTTTTTTAGTGGCGACGTTTTAACCCAAACATGTGGATCATCATGATGGCTGAAAAATTGATTAATACAAGCAGAGATAAAAAATTATAAGACAGATAATGGTTAATAATGATGCATGAAATATGTAGTAACTTATACGAACTAAAAAATAATGTATATAATCAATTTAGAAAAAATGTAAAAATTGATTATGCATAGATCAAATTTAAATATGTATTCAAGATAGCTAAATTACGAAAATTAGTACAAAGCATTTTAACTATACAGTGGAACATTAAGGAGATTTATTTTTAAAATAATATAAGAAATAAATATCTTAACTTTCAACCTGCATTCTATTTATCCATTCACCAGCTCAACAAAATGCATATCGCAAATACATGTTTACATGAAAATACATGTTTTTGTCAGAAATACGGGTAAAATCGAATCTACATCATAGTATAGTGTAATCAAAATTTGAGTGGATAGAAGAACTTACACTGATGCCATCAATTTCCAAAATTATATTATTTATATAGTCATCCTCCATCATCATCCTGTGCTGGACAAACCATTTCTGGTTCTTGGCTGCGTCAAGAGTAAATATTATTGTTATATAGTGATAATTCTAATTTCTTTGCCTCTTCTATTAAATAGTATGGTTTGTAGTTACATCACTGTTACAGCCGATGAGAGATATGTTATAAAATCCAAAGTATCTCCTAATATCAATACTAAAACCACGAAATAACGAGAGGGGTTTTATTACCTATAGAGAAGACGGTTCCAGTTTATTTGTCCATTAAGCCGTTTTGGCTCACAAAAGTGTCATAACAGCCTAACGTAACGCTTCTCCTGATTGCAGTGAAAGGCCCTGAAACAAGTATAGGATGCATTTATCTGCACCGCAAGCCATATTAGACCCATCTCTTTGGAAATAGTCCTGAATGAATCACAAGCTAACGACGCTGTCTATCCCAAACCCTCCGTCAGGGAACCGGAGTGTCTTGTGAGAAACCCCATTCATTGTTCTTTTAGTTAAGAGGGCGGGTAAAAGAAAAGTGCAATGTAATAATACAAAAACAACACAATGATTTAAATGACATTTAATATTCTCATGTAGAATGTTGAGTCATTACAACCTTTTAAAAATAAATTAAATAAAAAGTATAATAAAAAAAAAGTGCAAATAAGAATACCAATGGTTAGGAACACAAATAAAACAACAAAATTATTACAGTTTTTTTTTTTTTTTTTAGGAAGCCTACGTTTATAAATTTTTTCATAGTTAAGGCAACAATACTTCCAATTTCCTTCAAATCCATTCAATCCCATTTATTATCTCTAACGTTTCGGGACAATTTTCCCATCATCAGAGCAATCCTTATCTTTGGAACACAATATTCGGACAAAATATCCAACATTGAAATTCAAATAATAACAATAGGCAAAAAAAAAAAAAAAACAACGAACAGCCATAACAAGAAATAAGATGACATGTACAAAGTACAGTAATGAAACTGAAGCTAGCCAGATTTTGGTTAGTGTAACAATAAATAAGAAAGGATGTGTAACACCAAAAAAATATAAAATGAATGTGACAAATATTTGAATTTTTGTCAAATGGTGCCACATCAAAAAAGCAAGGTAAATAATTATACAATAGATGAAGTAGATTGGTACTGTGAAAATAGTTTATTTAAAATGTGCATAGTTTCAGTGAAGATAAGGATTGCTCTGATGATGGAAAAATTGTCCCGAAACGTTAAAGATAATAAATGTGATTAAAGGGATTTGAAGGAAATTGGAAGTACTATTGCCTTAACTATGAAAAAAAATATTATAGTTATGTATAGATTAACCTAGTAAAATTTGCTCTGGCTGATCGTCATTTGTATAATGCTCTAAAAATGACACGACAGGTTTTTGATAACTAAAATATGTGATATACTATTGATTGAAATCTATTTGAAAAAATATCTAACAAAACATTCATTTTTTTAATATAACTTCTTTAACGCAGGTCAATAATTTGTCAAAACCCTATCGAGTGAAACAGAAAATCTAATAGTAACACATAATTTCTAATTTTTTTTTTGTCTATTTAAAAAAATATCCATATTGACTTCCACAAATTGATTTCTAAATTCTCCATGGTATTTAAATTTTGCAATATTTTCATCTAAATGCTCAAAAGAGGCACTATTATTTGGCGTTATCTTCTTCTCTTTCAGACTCTCTGATTTGACGTCTCGTCAAAATACAATCTTGATTTATAGCTCATTACAAATTGGATATGATGCGGAAATTTTTTCTTGCTTACATTGTGCAGATTCGATTTTCTTCGGTTTCTGAGATATTTTAATCCATATGTTCAACAAAACTAGGTATCATTTAGTTTTGTTCCTTTTTGACTCTCTAACACGGCATCACGTTGAGATACAAGTTCGATTTTTTAGTTTCTGATATATTTTAATTCATAATGCAAAAGCACTCCAATTAGTCGACTACAACAGTTTCTTCACCATTATGAATAACGATAACTAATAGGGTGTATAAAAAAAAAAATGACACTATTTCAACCAAATATTTGTATTATTATTTCTTTGATATTAAATACAATTAATGCTCAAAGCATGGGCCATTGTTATCTACCGTCATCGAAAATGTGCTAGCCAATTGCTCGATTCCACGCTCAAACCATTTGTGGGATGGCTGTCGAAGAATGGCTGTCGAAGAAACCGCAATTTCAACTTTCACAAAATTATCAATTTTATTTTCTTAAAGAAAATGGGCCATGGATCTAAATAAGTAATAATCCGATGGTGAGGAGGGGTCTGAACTATATGGTGGATGAGGCAGGAGTTCGAACTCATGAAGTTCTTTTCTTTGGTTCGACGGGAAGTGTAAGGACGATCATTATCTTGGAACAAAATTCATTTTCGGTTGATCAAAGCAGAATAATGCTCCGAAAACTTCTCTTGCAATCTTTCCAGTTGTTCGCTGTAGAGTCCAGAATTCATAGAGTATCCATTAAGAACAAATACGTGATGAATAACACCTTCAAAATTCAAAAAAAAAGCATGGTTTTTTTTTTTTTTTTAAATTGCCTCCTTGCAGCAGCCGGAAAAGCAGTTTGACCGCAATCTAGCCATTGCTCACGAGTATTCGGATTTCGC